AGTGAATAAAATATTATTAAGACAGAATACAAATTGCAGAATTGTCAATTTAGGTAGTAATGATACATTCATTGATAGATCATTGTATTGGCATGATAACTGCGGATTTTCTTATTACGGTGATATAGGTATCTAACAACTACTTTTGATGAATTTTGTTTTAAGAATATGTTGAATAAAGTTGAGGATTATGAAATATATCCGGTAATATGGAAAAAACATATTTTTGTCAAAAATACTAGTGCCATTTATGCTTAGTTGCTATTAATGTCCTTCCAATTAGTTAAAAGTTCATCCAAAAGATTGTTTAGTTTATGGACATTAAGCGTTTGGTTGTTCTGACATTGCTAAGCTTTGTGGCCTCCAATATAAAATTGGCAGGACCCGGATCATACCTTTCCCTGCCTTTCATCATACGACCGTTAGCGCTCCCACTGCATTGGGGAACCCAAATTGAACCAAATTCTGCATTGGAGTAGCTCCCACTACGAGTCCGACACCAATTGGAGGTGGCACGATGCCGAGACATCGTGGGGCTCCACGTAGTACTTGTGACCTCTGTTGCGGATACGTGACCCGTGTCCGTAACTCCTCCTCCTCCCCCCCGGGGCGGAAAGGCGTCGCAGGCGGAGGAATTCCACCTCGCACGTAGGTAGGTCACCTACGAGGAATCGCTCCTATACCACTCGTAAATCATTCCAGGTGGGTACGTGCAGGGTCACCACACCACCCTCGATGGTGTTAGGCCTTGGGAGGTATATAAGGTCCCAGCTCGTTCAACCTCACCTGGTTCTTGTGGAAAATGAGAGTAGAGTGGTCCCACGGGATGCTTGTCTCGTATACTAGGAATGTAGACCGGTGACCGAGATGGCTATGTATCTCGAGTGCGTTTCTACCAACCCGATACCTCAAACGACGGCTCTCCTCCTCTCATATCCGCCCATTAGTCGCCTCTTACGATAGGCAGGGTCTTCTGGCCTCGGCCGTATTCTTATCTCCGCGAGCCGAACGAAGGGGTTGTTCTGACAGTTAGTGTGATTCTTCTTCTTGATGTGCCTATCCGTTACGAATGTTGGAGAGCATCATGGCAATCATTGTCTTATCTGCAGCAGCGCGGAAGAGCTGCACAGATGTTATATTGAACCAAATTCTGAGGTTCTTTTACCAAGATGTTCTTCTTCTTCCTGGACCTCGTTTTCCAAATATTTTTCTATGCAGGATGACTCAAAGGAGAGCATATATAGATTCATTTCGCATAATATGTCCGAAGAATTGTAACTTTCGAGATTTGATGGTGGTTAGTACCTCTTGGTTTTTATCCAATATTCTGAAGACCTCCTCATTTGTGACTCAATCAGTCCACGAAACCTTAAGTATTCTCCGATATAACCGCTTTTAAATAAGTTAATAAATTAAAATGTGTGGTTTAAAATCAAATAGTTTAAAGACGAAGTGTCAAAAATTGGACCTCAACTTTAGTCCCAAGATTGTCTTTACCTATTTTAAAAAAGCGATTCTTGCAGCAGTAACTGAATTGTTTTCATCTGCGAAAATAAAAAAATGTATATGTCATCCCGGACAATCATGAAAAAAAAATTTAAAAATTTTGACTGGCTGCTGAGTATTCAAAGGACAATGACGTCGGGCAATACCTTAGATATATGTCCTATATCTAAGGTATTGTAACCATTAGATGGATGGATGGATGGATCCATTAGATGTAAGTGAGTGTTTTGCTTTAGGCTTTACTGAGATATTATCAGCACAACACTAGGCCGTACAACAATTTGTATTGTTACAACAAAGTTTTCATTCTAAATTTAATTCGTTATTTTGCAATTCGCACACAAATATATCTTATTTTTTAGAAGTTTTAAAAGATATTTAAATTGAAACTTATATAAAATTACGAAATTCTGTGAACCCAAAAAAAGATTACTGAAAAGTACTTTGAGGGTGTCAAAAATTTGTTACAAAAGAGCACAATTAAAGCAAAATAAAATTAGTAGACTTGGTTTTGCAAAATCAATTATTTCATTTATATTTAGAGCAAAATAAATGCCCTGTTTTAATTCATATTTGTTTAATTTTGTAAAGGTGGGAGATATATCGTACGTTTTACACTTTTAGTGCTTTGTTTCATATATTTTCGAATTAGCGCATACTATTTCAGTATATATATTCGTATGAACTTTACACATTGCAGTTTTTACATAAAGAAAAGGTAGAAAAAGTGACAATAACAATAATAAATAAGTAAACACTGACAAGTATTTTCCAAATGCTTTTTGAATGTTAGGGTACGATCTAAAGTTACGCCGAGGTATTTTGGGTTAGCACTGTGCTTTAGACTGGTTCCATCGCATTCTATGTTTATCTGTAATTTGACTTGTTGTTTAGATGGAAAGCTGTTACTTCAGTTTACGATGGGTTTTGTTGTAGGCCCCATTTCTGAAAGTATCTGTTAACAGTGTTTAGATCTGCTTCTATGGTGGATTTGGCGATGTTTATGTCTTCTTCTTGGGCACCCAAAGCCATGTCACCGGCATAAATAAATTTGCGCGAGGTGGTAGTTGGTACATCTGACGTATAAATATTAAAAATAAGAGGAGACATAACTGACCCTTGTGGCAAGCCGTTTTGCAGGTTTCTAAAGTTACTATTTTTCCCATTAAGGTGCACTTGGAAAAGTCTGTCACTTAGCATTTGGTTTAACAACCTGTTGAATGCACGGCACGGTAACATCTGGTATATTTTATATAAAAGGCCCTTCTTCCACACTGTGTCGTAGGCGCAGGTCAAGCATATGAATGCTGCCTCTGTTTTGAGTTTCTTTTGGAATCCTTTCTCAATAAATGTTGTTAAGAAGAGGACTTGGTCGCCACAGCTTCTTCTCGGCATGAATCCAGCTTGTTCTTAAGGAATATTTGACTTTGTAAAGTAAAATAGTCTCGTTTGGATTATCCTCTCGAAAATCTTGTAGCAGACACTTAAAAGAGCGATTGGTCTGTAGCTCTCAGGTAATGTAGGGTCTTTCTTAGGTTTAGATATTGCGATGATCTTACTTTTTTGGAAGGATTTTGGAAACTTCTGCTTAGTTAGTATTTTATTGTAACATTCAAGAAGCCACTTTCTGGCATTCGGACCAATGTGTTTTATAAATTCAGGATAAATGTTGTCAACTCCTTCGGCTTTACGACATTTCATTAATTTTAGAGCTTCCTCAAGTTCTTCTGGTTCGATGAGCTTCATTATTGGTGGGCTTTGTCGTTGAGCAAGTTTGGCTTGTTTTAACTGAGATCGGACTTCTCTTTTATGATCTTTTTCTATTACTGGTTTTGAAAGGTTGGCTATGCGTTTGCCTATGTCTTCCGGTTTTGGGACTGTAGAGTTTGTTGTAGGGCTGTTTGGGCCAGAGTCTAGCTTCCTCAGAAGGTTCTATGCTGTGCGGCTGCTGTGTGTGAAATTGAGACTTTCTAAAGTTTCTCTCCACCTTGTATTTCTTGCGGAGTTAAGGGTTTCTAAGAGTTGTTCACCAACTTCAGGATCTCCAGATTTCTCATACTGATCAAGCAGTTCTTTACATTTGTCGTTCCAACATGGGATGTAGGAGTTGGTAACTCCACGAGGAATGTGCTTTTTTGCACATCTAATCACTAGTGATGCCAATATTTCATAATTTTGAACCTGGGGTTTGATATGTCTGATGTCACTTTCAAGTTGAAATTTAAACTCCTCCCACCTTGCCTTTCGGAAATTCTATCTTGGCAAGGGGAGTGAATTTATAATAGGGATGGTGGTGCCCACGGTTGTAATTATTGGTATATGTTGGGATTTGGGAAAGTTATCGAGAACCTCACTTGTGGCGTTCTTAAAGTCATTTTTGAGGCCGTTCCTTTGGAAGATATAAACGTGAGTTCGGGGTTGTAGCCCCTGTGCCATCTTGCAGAAAGGAAGGTGGGTTTCTGTTTTGCATCATATAAAAGTCTCAGATGGTGAACCTCGGCCCATTCGGCGATTTGTTCTCCTTGTTGATTTCCTTGGTTATATGCCCATATAGTATGGTGGCTGTTAAAGTCTCCAGTGTATATTGTCGGGTGAGAAATGTGGGAAGTACGTTTGATAGCCATCCAGAATTTGGTGTTTTGTATATATTGACTATTGTTATTTCGTCTACTTTCACAGCGAGTATAAAAATCACTTGTGTCGAGTAAGAGTGACATGTGCTGTAATGTTTGATGTCTCCTTTACAATAAGTCGCGATACCATACTGAGCGTGGTTGACTGAAGCTATTAGTGTGTATCCAGGGATTTGGCCTCGGTGTTTTAATTGTGTGTCGTCTGCAGTATGTGTTTCTTGAACGGTAACCACGTCAATCTTATTCTTTGCCAAGAGCTTACCAAGATACTCGCTCTTGCTTCGGCTGGTACCTTCAATGTTCAATTGGCATACTCGAACCTTTGGTCCGATTGTCAACTGGCTTTGAAAAGAGCCGTCATTTGATCGTTTTGTACTATTTCAGTGATTTTTATAAACAGCTAATGTAAAGACCAGTGCAATGGTTGCATTCATGGTGTATTCGTCAAATCGTACATATGTCCGAATCAGGCCTTAATAATAAAAGACATTCTTCAATATAACAAAAGTTACACTGAAATTATAGTAGCTACTAGTGTGAAAGATTTAATTTGGATTTTCGGGTCAGAATGATTCCATTGCAATAGCATTAAAGCTACTAAAAAAACGCTTTTCTATGATCAATTTTAAGAAGTTTAGAAACATCGAGATATTCCATTGAAGAAGAGATTTCAAGAACTAGAGACGATTTTAATTAAATTAGGAAGATAATTCTTGTTTGCCCTCTTTTTGTTTTTGGTTTTGTTGGCTTGGTTGTTCTTAGCTAAGATCTTATATTTTTTTATACTGCTTATCATTTTAGCAATATCTAAAACTTTTGTAAAACAATATTACTATTAATATTGTATTTAAATTATTTTAGATTTCAGCTTGAACAACTGTTAAGTACGCTAAAATACCTTAAGGAGTTAATTGACAGAAGAGAGAAGACATGGGATGAAATGGCTGAAAGGGATGACAAGCTCCAAGCACAATTTCAACATCTAGCGCATGAGAATAGTTCTTTACGAGAAATATTGCAAATCAGACGTCAAAACCTACCCACAGAAGAAAGTAGAGTAGAAGATGACAACGATATCGACGAGTTAGCCATGTACAAGAAAATAATTATTAAATATGAAAAAAAATTGAGGTATAATGTAATTCTTTTACAATGTTAAAAATATTTTTTATTTTCTTAACAAGCTTCCTACGAGGTACACTAAGTTTTTACTTTAAAGGATCACAATGGATCTTGAAATTAAACCCGCATTTGGGTTGTGCTTATTGAGTAAATCTTTCAACATCGACATAGTGTCGTTTAACCATTAAGCAAAACAATTTCAAGCTTTTAAAATAAAATCTAAATATATTCACTGTTTTGTGATAAGATTATTAAGGAACTACGCTTAAGTTTATTGATTATGGCCTGATAGGACCCAAAACGTTTTAAATTGTAATCCGTTTGGATTTTTAATTTTTTTATTTCATTAATTAAATCAAACTAATAAAAGAAGTTTCCACTTCAATGTGAAGTTTTTTGACTAGGTCTTACCATATACAGCTAACCACTTACTTTTTTTAAGCTTATTTGTAAGATTTTAATTATTTCTTTTACTTCTGTTTATTTTACCAATCTTTTTTAGCTATGTGTAATTCTAACATTTCACCTTGATTTAATATTTTAGTTTTATAAAGATAACTAAATATCTATCGATTCCTTTTATCAGTTCATTCTTTTGCGCAGTATAAAGTATATCACTAATTTTATCATAGATTTTTATACAACGGCTTACAAACTAGAACTGCACAAATTAGTTCTGTTTGTGTAAGTGCTGTAATTTTGTTAAAATTTTCGGGTATAAACAAAACTGTTATATCTATAATTTGAACCATACATATACCTAGTTAATAAAACATAATGATTCGTGAAATGATATTATAACCGCCTCAAAGGACTTATCATCATCATCAATCAGCCAATTGCGTCCACTGCTGGACATAGGCCTCCCTTAGTTCTTTCCAGTGTTCTCTACACTGGGCCGCTTGTATCCAGTTTCCCGCTACACGTTTAATGTCATCGGTCCATCTAGTCGGTGGTCGTCCTCGGCTTCTTTTATAATTTCTGGGCCTCCATTCCATAATACGTCTTGTCCACCGTCCATCTTGTGTTCTGGCTAAGTGCCCTGCCCAGTTCCACTTAAGCGTCGTGGTTCTTTCGATAACGTCTTGAACTCCTGATCTTCGCCTGATTTGTTGGTTTGTTATGTGGTCTCGAAGGCGCACGTTCAGCATTGCACGTTCCATGGCTCGTTGTGTAACTCTAAGTTTATTCGCAGATTTTTGCGTAACTGTTAAAGTCTCTGCTCCATAAGTTTGTACAGGTAAAACACATTGGTTATAAACCTTTCGCTTGAGACACATGGGAATTGAACTTTTTAGAATATGGCTTAATTTGAAAAATGCTGCCCATGTTAGACCTATTCGCCTCTGTATTTCATGTGTTTGATTGTCTCTGCTTATTTTGATTTCGTGTCCCAGATATTTGTAAGTGTCTGTTTGTTGTATGGTATTATTGCCAATAGTTATATTTCCACTCATTACGAGATTTGTTATAATTTTAGTTTTCTCAAAGTTTATCTTTAATCCTGCTCTTTCAGACCGACTTTTAAGCGAATGCATCATAGAAACTGTATCTTGTAAGTTATCTGCGATTAATACAACATCATCTGCAAACCTTAGGTGATTTAATCTTTCTCCATCTATATTGATGCCCATATCTTGCCATTGACTACCCTTAAATATTGACTCTAGAGCTGCCGTGAACAATTTTGGTGAAATATTGTCTCCTTGTCTAACTCCTCGACCTAAGCTGAATTTTTCTGTGTCTTCGTGCAGTCGTATACTTGATGTAACGTTCAGATAGATGTTTTTGATTAGTGTCGTGTACCTGTAATCTATTCCGCTTTGATTTAGGGCTTCCAGTATTGTTTCAAACACTACAGAATCAAAAGCCTTCTCGTAATCGACAAATGCAAGAACCAGTGGTATGTTGTACTCGATGCACTTTTCTATTAAGATCTTTATGGTACGCAAATGGTCATTTGTGCCATATCCTGCCCTGAAGCCTGCCTGTCCTTTGGGCTGATAGAAATCAAGTGTCAAGAGGATGATGGGTCTATAATTTTTTAATTTAGTAATATCGCCTTTTTTGTGTAACAAGACTATTACTGCATGTTCCAGTCTTTTGGAATCGTACCCGAATGTAAGCATTTTAGTAAACAGTTCGCTTACTGATTTTAATAAAATTTCTCCACCTGCTTTTATTGCCTCGATAACGAGTCCATCATCACCAGGCGATCGATGGTTCTTCATTTCCTTTAAAGCTGCTCTTACTTCTGACACAGTAATGGGTAAAAGTATTTCCGATCCCTGATTTATGGGAGTCTTTACTCGTGTCGGGAAATTGTCTTGTGGTCTTTGGCTGGTATACAGGTCTTTATAAAATTCTTTAGTTATTTTCAGAATATTTTGTTTATCTGTTGTTGCCTTTCCGTCTTTATCTCTCAGCTTGTATATTTCTTTTTTACTTTGCGTAAGTTTTTTTTTCATTATCTTTAAACCTTTGTTCTCTTCTACTGTTTGAGTAATTACATTAGTATTATATCTTCTTACATCTTTTCTAATTTCCGCTGAAATTCTTTTATTTAGTTTTTTATATTCTTCTTTGTTTCCCTTTTCGTTCTCGCTTAGGTTTCGTCGTATTTTCATGAGAGCCCTTGTATCTTTGCTAATCTTTTCACTTTTGGTGTCATTTTTGTCAAAGGACTTATACATAAGTTAATTTATTTTATATATTATCTTCAAGTCATAATCAACAAACTAAAATACTATTTCTGTTATTTTTAGTAAATATATTGTTCTGTGATTAAACTATCAAAATACTCACTAATCTCCTGGTTTGTATAGGCAACCAGTTTTACGGTATGCCGTATTTAAAATTATCTATAACAAACACAACTTATAAAATATTTGTGATTAAGGCAGCGTTTCTCAACCTATTACCAGTTGCGACCCAATTTTATATCAAGATTTTCACCGCGCCCCCCCACCCCTCATATAATAAAAATATATGAATTTAGGACAGATTTTCAGGAGGGTGGTGGTGGTACATGAACTTTTTTCGGTGATACCGAAATTTTTTTTAAGGCACTTCTCACACACTTGAGTGCCATAAAGACAATCAAACCTTATCGTTATTACAGTATATTTATTTGCCAAATTTTTTAGCCAGTCTCTCTAGATCCGCTCTTGCACTAAACTCAGAGTAAAACCTTAATTTCCAAATTACCAAGAATAAGTAAATTTATTGATATGTGGCAACATAAGAAGTTCTGAGTTTTCCTCTCTCCTATTCAGACCCAGACCTTAGTCGAGTCAGTTTAGTCAGTCCTGTCAGTCCTTCTGCACCTATTACATTTCTTGTGAATGTTTATGTTGTAGTTTGCGTGTATTAATTGCAGTTCACGGTATTAAAATATTCCAAGCAGTAGGTAAATATACTTAAATTTATATAAAATCATAAGTAACATTTTTAACTGGGCGTAAGCAAGCATTCGATACTAGTGAAGCATCAACAAGTGTACAGGCAAAAGTAGTTCCAAAAACAAAATCAAGAAAATATTCTCAAGATTACTTAAATTTTGGGTTTACATTTACTGAACATTTACTTTAATGCATAGTAAGTGCATTAATCAACCCCGAGAATTTTTTGAGTTAAAATTAAAATCATATGAAAAACAAGAATCATTAAAAAAAAAAACTTTGACTGTGAATCTTCTTCTTAGAGTGCCATATCCCTACGGAACGTCGGCGACTACCATGCTTATAATATTATTATACTGATCTCGGTCTTGCGCTACGTGTAGCAATTGGTCCGCTGTCAAACCTGTCCACTGCCGCAAATTCCTCAACCAAGAGAGTTTCTTCCGTCCTATCCATTTTTTTCCTTCGATTTTACCGTTGAGAATTAGCCGAAGGAACTCATATTTAATAGAGTTCGTTGATGTCCCATTCTTCGAAGAACTTCTTCGTTTCTTGTTCAGCTAGTCCATGGAATTTTTAGTATCCTTCGATACAACTACATCTCAAACGCCATCTGACTGTGAATGAAAAAGCTTTATTTGCGTCCTATAGAACCTCCTATCAAATAGCTAGATGTAAAAATCCGCACACTATTGGTGAAGAGCTTATTTTGCCAGTTGTAATTCAAATTGTAGAAACTATGTTTGAAGATAATTTTGCCAAAAAATTGACGTCTATACCTCTATCAAATGATACCGTTTACTGATACATATCATTAGTAGAAGAACTACTTTTTTGCAAACCAATAGAACTGAAAGCAACGTCGCTTGCATTATTTGCTATCTTAAACGATTATATAAATGAAGCAAAAATAGAGTGGAAGAATTGTGCCAGAAAATTTCATAGCCTACAAGCGCTTGTGAAACAAAAGTCTCCAATATGTATATGGACACAATGTATGATCCACAGAGAAGCTCTGGCTTCCAAAGAAATTTCTTCTGGCCTGAATATTGTGCTAACAACGGTTGTAACAGTAGTTAATTAAATAAAAATGAGACCTTTGAAAACCAGAATCTGTTCTACACTTTGTAAAGACATGGGTGCATTACATTCACCATTATTATTTTATTGTGAGGCAAGATGGTTATCACGTGCGAAATTTTTACGTGTTTTTGAATTAAGACATGAAATCACTATTTTTCTAGAAGAAGAAAATAGACCGGACACCGAGATGTTTCGAGATAGTTTATTTTTGATGAAATTGAGCTACTTGGTTGACATATTCGAGAAACTAAATAGTTTGAACATTCAGCTTCAAGGAGACAATACACATATATTGGATACGAGTATTGAAAATAATTTAGCGATGCTGACTAAAAATTTTAAAAGATATTTTTTCGACGACGACAAATTAATACATAGTTACGAGTGGGTTAGGAATCCGTTCCGAATTACACCGGAAGGGCTCTCTACTGCCGAAGAAGAAACCTTAATTGACTTCACGGCAAATGATGAAATCAAGAAACAGTTTAATAATAAATCCCTCTTTGAATTTTGGGCAGGAGTTAATGATGAGTTTTCTGCACTGAAAACCAAAGCGTTCCGTATACTATTGCTGTTTTCAACATCCTACCTTTGCGAAACAGAATTTTCTGCGGTGGCTGGTTTGAAGACCAAATATAGATAGCAGCTAAATATAGACAAATAATTGAGAACGTCTATTTCTAATATTACACCCCGTTTCGACAAACTTTGCTCTACAAAACAAGCTAAAGGAAGTCACTGATTTATTATTAAACTTTTTCATCATTTAGTGTTCAGTGCTCTTTATAATTATTCCTATTATATCAGTGTTCATGTGTATTTTATTTTTTATTTTGTAAGAATTTTGTTTTGCTTTTATTTTAGTAAATTAGTCAATGTTGTTGATGTTTTTTTCGAATAGGCTCACGCCCCCCATTGATAATACCTCGCCCCCTAGGGGGACGCGCCCTACAGTTTGAGAATCACTGGATTAAGACAATATCAGTTCTGACTACAAAAATTGCAAACCGTAAATAGCAGAAATAAGACTAAAAGAAACTATCCTCCAGTTTTATATGTTGTCGATGTCTGATCTAAACCTAAAACTACATACCCAAAGAAAGAGCAGGCTATAATGTCAATTCAATTTCAGTTTGTAGCATCTATATTATTAGCACCAAATTATAGCTTATTCAAAGCTGATCTAGTGGACCTCATATATTTACTTCCTTCCCTTGTAGGTATCTGAAAAAATCCAAGATTGAGGAAAGACTGAAAAATGTATTAAATATTTGTATTTCATATATACTTGTATAATGAATAACTATTTCAAAACTCAGTGGCGCATGTTACCAAGGAACACAGACGCATATAGAAGGATCTTTTACTTTTATTTTTTACCGTCGGTAAAGGTTGAACACACGTTATAAAAAAGAAGCAAAGGTTGATTAAAATTTTAGTTCCTTATTAGTACCGCTAGGAAGCGGTCATGTCAACGCTATTACTGCTTCTAAAATATGAAAGAGTGGGGCAATAAATGCAACTTTAGATATTTTTATATGTAGATGCTACATGGTCGTAGAAAACCACTAAATTTTAGCGTTTTATATATATTTTTAAAGAAAATAACATTATTAATATTAATAAATGAATCTTTAAAAAAAATATTATGATTCAAATTTTTAATTAAAATGTGTACAAATCGACAAATAATATAATTAAAACTCTCTTCTTATAAACTATAAATAAAATTACTAAAAATCAATTATTATTCATCAAAAAATAAATAAGCAAGTCTCAAATAACGCCTCACTAGAGCTCAACAAAGCAAGATAAGAAAAAAGCAAAATTTGATACTGGGACATAGACCATTGCCAATCCCAAAAAATTAAAATCATCAACATCCGACAATAAAAAGAGATTTCCGGAGACCATGATCCCCCTCTTAACAGAGTTGCTAAGAAATCAAGGGAATCTAACGAGCAAACTAGGTCATAAAGCACCCTGACAAAAGTATTCAGAATGGTACTTCCTGATACTCAAGTAGATCGGGCTCAAATTTAATTATTAACAAACTTAATCAAGAGCACTTGATGAGCCTCCTATATAAGGTCAAAATGCACTGTGTTAACGAGTATGCAAAAAATGAACGACTGAAGTAGTGAAGACTATTGCTGGTCTGTGGGTTGGAGTAAACTTAAATATAATTGTTCCAAATATTATGCATAAGCGCTCTATGGTCCTCACCTGCGTCCCGAGAGAAAACTTGATAAAGAAATCATAGAACCTGTCTAAAGAGGCAAAGTCAAGGCCCTAACACAGAAGACTGGTTGTGATCTCTGTTTCACCGACTAAACGACAGTAAAGATGAAGGTTATAGAGGGAGAAGTTATGAAGGAGTTAGTTCTCCGATCAGCATACCTTCCATATGATAATCCCGAACAACCATCAAGGGAGTTGGAACAGTTAGTGAGAGATTGCATAAAAAATGAACTGCAATTAATCATTGGCTATGATATCAATGCCTACCATCTGACCTGAGGCAGTAAAAACACCAAACTGTTAAAAAATGGCATGTCTTAGATGAGGTGTCTTGTTCAGACCATCGTGACAGGCAGTAAGCATATCAAGGAAACTTATTGTAATCCTCGTTAAAAAAATTGGGAGGCATATCAATCAGACCTGAAATATTGTTTAGGTAAGATTAAAGGGACGATAAGGCATATATTTAACTTAGGGATGGCCGCTGTACAACTTCATTGTCATGTCAGCGCCTAAAGATAACTAATTACTATTTAAATTGGAATAAGCCACAATTAAAGGTTAAAGTACTTTATTGACGTTTCAATTTCCACTTTGGAATCGTTCTCAAAATACAAACATTAGTTTAAAAATACTAATATAAAAATACTATATAATACATACTTAAATACTCAAAATACTGATGTTTGTATTTTGATAACGATTTCCGAAGTAGAAATTGAAACGTCACTAAACGAAGTTTAACTTATTTCCATTTAAATAGTAATTAATTTAAAATTCCACAAGAAAATAGCTTCAGAACAATATTTAAAGATAACTGTCTGGAGATAGTTAGGAATTTCAACGGGAAAGTATCCTGGTGGAATGACAATCTTGCAAGTCATACGAAAATTTAGTTATTCCAAAAGATCTGGTAAGTGTGGCGATTACTGCAAAGCATGGACTGAATATACAACAACTTAGAAGTCAGGTGAATACACGACACGTGATAGCAACTGAAATGGATATCATAGCTTATGGTTCTAGGAAAAACTGGCGTGATGCAAAACAAGTGGTGAAATAGGACAAAATTAAGTGGGCAATAAACTAGCTTGTACCGTATAAATTACCAGGTCCAGAGTGGATTTAAAAAAAATTTTACAGAAGAAAATAACCTCTACAAAAAATATGGAAGATACTGCAGGCTAGCCTACGTCTACATAAAAAACATACAAAAAGTATAAATGCTAATAAGGGTGGCTTTTATACCTAAACCTAGCAAAGTCAGACATGGGTAAATTAAGTTCCTGAGGCCGATAAGTTTAATGGCATTCGTACTGAAGACTAGTAATTAAACACTGAGTTAACATTTGGTTTCATTAATATATATATATATATATTATATATAATATATATATATATATATATATATATATATATATATATATATATAACGGGTGGTGAATCGTCATAGATTACGGGCCATACGAAACTCAATGGGAAATTTTAAATTGTTGAATTGCTGCTTCCCTAATTATTTTAGATCAAAAGTCATCAAAAACTATTTGTAGAGGACTAAAATCTGAATTAAAAACAAATATTAAAACCGTTCTACGAATCAAATGTACTTCAAAATTTTGCAAAAATATAATAGATTTTTCAGACCACCCCTAAAAGTTAGGCCACACGTAATACAAGAATATATAACATTACACACGTAATACAAGAATATATAATAAAATAAAATAATTTTTAAGTGCATTTATATTTTTCGTGCATTTCAGATTTTTTGTTTTTTTATAAAAGTTTATAAAATTTTATGTTTTTAGGGAATCAGTGCAAGGCAACAATGGTACAATCAACGTAAACGTGCCGTTTAATAATAAGGAAAAGAAATTAGTACAAAGTCTTATGGCAAGGTAAGAAACATATATATATACATATATATATATATATATATATATATATATAATATATATATATATATATATGTGGTCATATTCACACATATCATATCACAACTAATGGTCATTGGCATGTACAGTCAGGTACCTAGTGTAGTGTGTGTGTGTGTGTAGAGTAATTGTCTTGATACTAAGCAAAGTCGGCGTCATTGTCTTTGCTAAGAGACGCTAATTATATCCGAACGTCTGCGGTCCCTCCGGTGAGTACCGATCGCACAAGGATAGAAATTATTTTCATTGATTAATTTTTAATAAACGAAAATTTATCCATTCAGGTGAGATTCGGACTCACGACCTTTAGGTTTAAAGGTAGGTGCTCTTACCACTGAGCCAAAGGGGGTTACCTTTGTATCTGTATTCTCATAAAATATGAAAAATTGGAAAGGTAGGTCAAATTAGTTTGGTTTTCAAGGGAGAGACAAGTTTTTGTTAAATGTGATTTGTGCACAGAAATTAATCAAAAAAACTCTGTAAGTGGCGAAATGAATGCCATCGCTGGTGGAAATCGTATATACTATGATAATAATAAATTGACCACATCGAAAGTGAAAGTCAAAAGTACGAAAATAATCAAAACTTATAAAACATTAATTAGACTCGTAGTAACCTATGAATATGAGATCTGGGTAATGATAAAAAAGATCAACTCACGACATTCGAGAGAACGACAAATAAGAAAATTATATGGTCTGGTACTTGAAGAAGCAGAATAAACTATAAGATAAATGAATTAAATATTACTTAAAGTCGTTTTAATAATACAAATCTTATTCTTAAAGAACAAAGAGATGTTAATATTAAGCATTATTAAGCTTAACCTTAATTTAGTAGGACGAAACTGCAGATAATACGTATTAACGAATCGTTGTAACTAAATAGGTAGTTTAAAATTTAATGCCTTATGAAAAAGTTGATGTCGAGCGAAACATATCAAATTTATGATATGTGTGGACATTAAGACAAAGTATTTTGGGATGTTTGCCTTATTATTTGTGTTTTTTCTCAATGAAAGTTTATAACCACAAAAAAACTTTTTTTGCCTATTCATTTCTTTCTGCAAACATGCCTTGTACTATTGATGGCGATCATGCGTATTTTTCATTTCTAAACATATAACCGACAGTCTTTCTGTTCATTCACTTTTTTAATTCTCAAATCTAATCTTAAAAAAAGCTATAGATAAGATAGTATTAAACAATTCTCCAACAAATACATTCTGTATTCCTGCAATAAAAAAAGGAGTGTTTACTTAGTATGCACGTAAGAAGATATACTTCTATTATATGATTTCAATGTAATAATAGTTATTTATTGTACAAGTCGATAAAATTGTACTTTATCTTCGAGAGCGTTTTTTAGCGTCGAGACGTCAGTCGAGACGCTAATTATGCTCGAGAAGATAATGCGATTTTATCGTCGTGTGCAATACAACATTTTTTTCTAAAGCAAAACTTCAAGTTCAGGTGAAAAATAGAATTTCAAATTGTAATTTTTAGCACAAAAATCGCAATTGTGTTGCTCCGTTGCTAGGGATATGAATTAGTCTGTCAACATATGTTAAATAAATGTTACAGAAAATCAATTCAGTACCTCGAATTAAGTGTTTAAGCAAACGAGTACAAGTCGTGATGCTCAAAAAATAGATATTTTTAATAATGTTAATTGTAAAATTTCAGTTGTTTTTAATCCTTAATATTTTGAATTTATAAATTTTATTGAATAAAAAAAGGTTAAAACATTTTATCTACTCTTGCTGTTAAAGTGTCACTTTATCTAACCTTGCGGTTAAAGTGATACTTTATCTACTCAAAACAGTTGTTATAGCAACACTTTAACATTAGCTATGGAAAAAATATATATTTTTTTCCATGGCTCTCGAAGATAAAGTACAATTTTATCATCTTTTTAAATAAATAAATATTAAACAGTTTATCAGTATTTTCTTTTTAAAAAATAAACTAATTTTGATACTTACCATTTTCCAAAAAGTCCTTAAAATAATACCAAGAATTTAAAAAAGAGTAAGGCAACACCACGAGGTGTTCCACAGCTACGTGGAATAGTAGCGGTCACCCATCCAAATGATAATAGAATAAAATTCATACAAAATTAATTATTTTGGCAGATTGTACAAATAATATTAAAATTACTTTTTAATCTTATTTTTATCATATTTTATTGATCCTTTTTCCGACGAACACAAATTCAAATACGTAAAAATTATAATAAATAATATATTTACTAAATTTACAATACATCCACCGGGATAATATCCTTTTCGTTTCATTTAATAATTCGATTTAACTTTTTTGAAAATAAATCATGACGCACGGGAAAAGATAGAGTGGACATACTATAACTCTGGAATACAGAGGTGTAACGTAATATATATCGACCGAATATTTAACCCAACACGTAACTCACATTATCCTGTTTTTACAGGAGCAACAAAAAACTAAATAACTTCAAAAAAGTGGGCCTTACTGATTTTATACTTTTAAAAACACCAATATAAACATAAGTCTAATATCAGTAGGATCTTTTCCGTGTATAAATATACCTAATACAATTTTTAATTGGAGTTAGGAGTTTTTACAGATTTAGTTACGGAGTTATATGGTATTACTTTAACAGATACGCGGTTTGCAAACTTTCAATTGGGGAGTTAAGTGGTTTAAACCTAATATTTAATTAATTTGAACTACCTTCATTTGACCCAAAGTTACACAATATTATCTACGTAGGAGAAATAAAATATGGACAGTACAACTTGGATTAAAAACGTGTATTACATTTGTTTTAAAAAAATTACAAAGTTTTGTTGCATGGGTAAATTATCATAAAATAAGTGATAGTCTTTTGCAATACTCGGTTTCAGTTCTTTTAAATATTGATATTTAGCCGCAGTAATGTTCAGTCGGTCATTATAGAGTGATTAAAAGTTTTGGAAAGCTTAAAGAGTTTTCGATGTTGGTCGTGGTAACTGATCATAGATTTATTTGGATCTTGGGCTTATCTTTTGGATTTTCTGGATCCTTCATCAACCTTTTCTTTGCTATCATCACACGACGGTAGTAGTTTGAAGTCATCGTTGAAGAACAGTTTGTAGCGTATTTTTTCAGTAGCATCATATATCAAGTATCTGATGTCTGACTTTAGGGTCCACTTTTCTAATACCAACACGAACTGATTTGAAAATCAATGGTTTCATAAAGTCTTTAAAAAAGAGTGATCCGAATACATCACTTTGTATGGACTTCTTTGACTTGCATTTTTTGCATGCGTCATTGTAGTCTGCCGCCACATTAATTTCTCTGTGTTTTAAATATCGTTTTATGGTAGCCTGCATTGAGTCACACTCTATCCGAGTGTGAACCTTTTCGATATATTTACTCTCTATAGTTATTTTATGTTTAACGGCCACATGTAAGAGGGCGTTACTCATAACTGCACTTCGGTTTTGATAATTACATCCATCACTAAATATTACAATCTTCGTTACATTGTTCCGCTGGGGAAGTTGCGATTCAAGAAAATTTTTTAAAATGCTGGCAAATTCATTTTCTAAAAGTTCCCCTTCTGTCTTGTTCCAAAGGTAGCAAAACCGTTCCTTTGTCTTCAGGTTAAACACACTAAGGTTATGTACCGCAAGTTTACGCCTGTAGTAAAGACCTGATGCGTTTGATTTCGGGCATAGTAACAATGATTAAAGATCAACTGTGTATACGTGCTGTTCATTCATTTTATCTGTTGACTTTTCTTCTTTAACTTCATCTTCTTTGTTCTGTGGGTTTTAAAATTTTCTATAGTAATGTGATTTAGCTTATATGCCGTACATATATCACACTGATTCTTTTTTATCCTGTATAAAGATAAACTCATAAAGTTACGTTTGGTAAAGTCGATAAAAATTCTCTGATTCTAATCTTTTGTTTAATTTTAATCTAAGTCTTCTATTATGGAGTTTCAAAGTTTTCTTTGGATTTTGGAATTTGTTCATTGTGTACTTCAGCTTATATCAGGAATCTGTTGGAAATATCATTCTCTGGATCCAACTCTGAAGCATAGTTTGTCTTAACTGCTGTCTCCTTGTCATGACTGCTAGTATTTTTTTCCGCATTAAAACTATAACTAGAATAATTATGATCAACATATTTAAGGCTACTCAGGGTTTTATGACAGTTTATTTCTTTAAGGGCTGTCAGGGCTTCGCTCTCTGAAACATCTAAACTTAAAGATAAATAGAAAAAGAGGTAGAGAAGAGAAAAAAGGAAGTAAGGTACCATTATCATTCTTTATTAAAAAATCTGATTTGGAAGCACTGTTGTCAACTGCTGTGTTAGCCTCAGGATATAAGTTGATTTGTTTCTTTGTTGGTATAATTATGTCGTCTTGAAACGATTAAGCTGCACATTTGCTAAGTCTAATATTTTTCTTGTTTTCGAAAACATTTTTCTCCTGCAAAAAAAAACAAAACCCTGTTGGTTGTCAGCTTTAATGTGGTCAGATTTAAAAATCTGACCACTTAACTCCCTAAGTTTATACCATTCTTATGTAAATCACCATTGTAAAAACACGTAACTCCGTTATCATTCATTGATAAAACTCGTAACTCCAAAAAAAGTTTGCTACATAACACGTAACTCCTAATACTAAAAATATTTATACTTTGTCGTAAAATCTTTATGGTACAATATAGTTCATAATTATTTACATGAAATGTATTAAAATTTTAATACATCTACATATTTCAACATAAACGAAGAGTAAGTAATAAAACCCGTAACTCCACTGTATAGGCAACTAACCAAACATTTTGATTTGTAAGAAAACCAAGTAACTATATTGCCCTTGAAATTTATCGATTTGATAATATATTTGAGCTTAAACAGGCGAGAATAATCTAAGGTTGATACACTAAAGAAACTTACCATCAAATTTAAGACTCATTGGAT